AAACCTCGAGAAAAGCTTCTCGAACCGCGGAGGCGGCGATGCTTTCAGAGTTGAAACTAAGAAATGCAACAATAAGATCGGGCCAACTGTTCTTTCAATAGAAATGATGACATTTTGAAGCTCCCAGCACACAGTTGCTTCAAATTCACACGGTCCTTCGCATGAAAGAAACCATCATCCCAGTGCCACCTCAATCATCGCATCCATCCCACCAAAAAAACATATGTTCCAGACAGCATGGAAACAGCATACTTCAAGGATATGAAAATTCAGCGTCACCGAACTTTCAAGGTCCCGACTCAAAAATTCCATGTCCACGGACAGCCCCTACAGAGCATGGAACAATCACAAAACAATCTCCAAAGAATCAATGCAAGACCATATCTACAGAAGAAAGATGTCGCGAGTATTGCTTTCAATGCATCTCTGCATTCACTTGAGGCTCCGACCAAACGATTCTTTTGTAGAAGATCCAGTTGAATGCCGCTCGCACAGAGAACGCGGTAAAACTCCATGCTTGAATTGGAACAATCAGAAAACTCAATCTCCAAAGAATGAATGCAAGACCATGTCCACAGAAACAGAACATGGAACAATCAGAAAATACAATTTCCAAAGAATGAATGCAGGACCATATCCGCAGAAGAAAGATGTCGACGGCATTGCTTTAAATGCATATCTGCATCCACTTGAGGCTCCGACCAACTGATTCGCTTCAACATCTAGTTGAAGACCGCTTGCACAGAGAACGTGGTTGCAAAAATTCCATACTTGAATCCCACGGGACTCTATGATCCAACTAAAGACAAAAATCAGTCCTCGCAGTCACATACCACCTCAACAGAAAACAGAAATCAATTTTCAATCCAACCATTGCATGTCTCAATCGCAGACTTTTGCACACAGACGCTTTTGCACACAGACGCTTTTACACACAGATGCTTTTACACACAGACTCCTTTACACACAGACGCTTTTACACACAGACACTTTTACACACAGACCATTTTACACACAGACACTTTTACACACAGAAGCTTTTACACACAGAAGCTTTTACACACAGAAGCTTTTACACACAGAGGCTTTTACACAGAGTCCTTTACACACAGACGCTTTTACACACAGACGCTTTTACATACAGACCCTTTTACACACAGACACTTTTACACACGCTTTTACACACAGACACTTTTACACACAGAAACTTTCACACACAGACGCTTTTACACTCAAACACTTTTCACGCACAGAGGCTTTTACACACAGAAGCTTTTACACACAAACACTTTCACACACACAGAGACCGGACCCGTGAAATCGCAATTTTACCTCAGTTTTTGGCGATCGAACCTCATTTCGCGGTAGGGGTTGCGATTGACACCTCAAAATCGCAATTTTACCTCAGTTTTTGACGTCCAACGCCCATTTCGTGCGAAAGGGTTGCGATGGACTAACTAAAATCGCACTTTTACCTCAGTTTTTGACGTCCAACGTCCATTGGGTTACGATTGACACCTCAAAATCGCAATTTTGACCTCAGTTTTTGACGTCCAACGTCCATTTTGTGCGAAAGGGTTGCGATGGATACTTCAAAATCGCAATTTCACCTCAGTTTTTGACGTCCAGCGTCCATTTCGTGCGAAAGGGTCGCGGTGGACTAACTAAAATCGCAATTTCACCTCAGTTTTTGACGTCCAACGTCCATTTCGTGTGAAAGGGTTGCGATGGACTAACTAAAATCGCAATTTTACTTCAGTTTTTGACGTCCAACGTCCATTTCGTGTGAAAGGGTTGCGATGGACTAACTAAAATCGCAATTTTACTTCAGTTTTTGACGTCCAAGGTCCATTTCGTGCGAAAGGGTTGCGACGTACCAACTCCAATCGCAATTTTACCTCATGCAGTTTTTGACGTCCAACGTCCATTTCGTGCGAAAAGGTTGCGCTTCGTGGCGCTCGGGCGGCACCATCCCCGCCTTAAGAGAGAGAGAGATAGAAAGAAGAGCGAGAGAAGATGTGAAGGTGTGAAGATGTAGATCAGCAGGTGTGAGGGTGTGAAGATGTAGATCAGCAGATGTCAGGGTGTGAAGATGTAGATCTGCAGGTGTGCAGGTGTGAAGGTGTAGATCTGCAGATGTCAGGGTGTGAAGATGTAGATCTGCAGGTGTGAGGGTGTGAAGATGTAGATCTGCAGATGTCAGGGTGTGAAGATGTAGATCTGCAGATGTGAAGGTGTGAAGATGTAGATCTGCAGATGTCAGGGTGTGAAGATGTAGATCTGCAGATGTGAAGGTGTGAAGATGTAGATCTGCAGGTGTGAGGGTGTGAAGATGTAGATCAGCAGCAGATGTGAGGGTGTGAAGATGTAGATCGGCAGATGTGAAGGTGTGGAGATGTAGATCTGCAGGTGTGAAGGTGTGAAGATGTAGATCAGCAGATGTGAGGGTGTGAAGATGTAGATCAGCAGGTTTGAGGGTGTGAAGATGTAGATCAGCAGGTGTGAGGGTGTGAAGATGTAGATCAGCAGGTGTGAGGGTGTGAAGATGTAGATCAGCAGATGTGAAGGTGTGAAGATGTAGATCAGCAGATGTGAAGGTGTGAAGATGTAGATCTGCAGGTGTGAAGGTGTGAAGATGTAGATCTGCAGATGTCAGGGTGTGAAGTTGTAGATCTGCAGGTGTGCAGGTGTGAAGATGTAGATCCGCAGATGTCAGGGTGTGAAGATGTAGATCTGCAGGTGTGAGGGTGTGAAGATGTAGATCTGCAGATGTCAGGGTGTGAAGATGTAGATCAGCAGATGTGAAGGTGTGAAGATGTAGATCTGCAGATGTCAGGGTGTGAAGATGTAGATCTGCAGATGTGAAGGTGTGAAGATGTAGATCTGCAGGTGTGAGGGTGTGAAGATGTAGATCAGCAGATGTGAGGGTGTGAAGATGTAGATCGGCAGATGTGAAGGTGTGAAGATGTAGATCAGCAGATGTGAGGGTGTGAAGATGTAGATCAGCAGATGTGAGGGTGTGAAGATGTAGATCAGCAGTTGTGAGGGTGTGAAGATGTAGATCAGCAGGTTTGAGGGTGTGAAGATGTAGATCAGCAGGTGTGAGGGTGTGAAGATGTAGATCAGCAGATGTGAGGGTGTGAAGATGTAGTATAATGGCTGCTTTTTTACCAAGAACCCTTCGCAGGCGCTCTCGGGAACAAAGCAGTGAAAAACCCAAGCATGTGCCAACCCTCAGAAATTTCATGAGAAACTTCAGGCAGACCGACGTGCTTGGAGCATCCCAGACAATGTCAAAGCCCTAGGGGTCAGTGTTCGACCCAAGATGCGTGCCAATACCGAACTTGAAAGCAACCGCCTCAAGGCATCCCCTAAGCGAGCACAGCTTCTGAGTTGTTTGCCCGTGCCATATCACCGCAAACTTGAAATCTATAGAATGTTTCTGGTTCCAAAAGCCTTATAAATGGATGGATTGTCCGTTTTCCAACCAAAGCTGACTCTAACAAAGTTTTCAACAGCCTCTCAAAGATGACAGGATCGAACTATGTTGCCAATCCTCTCATTCGTTCATCTTCGTTCCACTGTCTACGGAGGTGGCTGCCACATGCAAGTGCTTTTAGCCACCATGCTCTTCAAAAGATTGTGCGGAATGAAAAGCAGAGGAACTGGCACTCCTGCAAAAGCACTTCGAAGCTGGCTCAAGGACTGGGGCTGGCAAGAAACAACACCATGGACATGGAAGCGACCTGACATCACTCTTCGTGCCCCGGCACGCACAGTACCCAAAAGCTCAGGTTAGGTTAATTTCGATCTAAAAGGCTATTTTAGTTTTGAAGGTAAATCTTATCTATTAGGTTGTTTCATTTTCTGACTATTAGGTTGTTTGCCTGTTTGCCTAAATAGTTTATTTAGTCGAATAACAATGTCACCACATCTGAATGTCTTGGTGAGAGCCACTCTTGCGCCAGTGGGCAGGAGGCAAACGCCATGAAGGGCAAGAGTGGAGGAGACTGACGTCCCCACTGCACATGCGCACGGAAATCCAAAACGCTCATGACATGTGATGCTTCAGCTCGTGCAATCCTCCTGGACAGTGTCGTGTCGCCTGCTTGATTCCACATCACAAGCCGCCAGAGCAGCATGCTATGGTGCTGTACGCGTCTCAAGGGTTGCAGCACTTGCCAGGAAACAGAGCGTACACTGTACACTTTACACTCCACACTCCACACTTTACACTTTAGATCTCACACCTGACACTTTACACTCCACACTTTGCACTTTACATTCTGCACTTTACACTTTACACTCTACACTTTACACTCTGCACTCTACACTTTATACTCCACACTTTACACTTTTCACTCTACATCTCACACCTTACACTTTAAACTCCGCACTCTACACTTTATATACACTTTATACACACTTTATATACACTTTACACTCTACACTTTACACTTGCCTTCGTTTTTAGTTGCCAGTTTGCGTGGCAGGCGCAGTACTTGTTGATTTTGCAACTTGCCACTAGACTCGGCCCGCCCCACTACCTTCCACATTTGCCACTAATACATTGAACATTTCACATTCCACGCCGCATTTTGCACTCCGCACTTCACGCTCCACACTGGACACTGCACAGTTGACATTCCACACCCGCAATCCACACTGTACACATTACACTTTACACTCCGCAACCCCCACTTCATACTATACACGCTACATTTCCCACTCATTACTCCACTGTTTATACTCTACTACTCACACTCCACACTCCACCCCATTCCACACTCCACAGTCTACACTGGTATGGCAACAGGGGAAAAATGTACAAGACGGTTGAAGTAGTTTGTTTGACAAATGTGTTTTACGTGACTGCATTCGGGTTCATCGGTTGGTCTTATTCTTTTCAGAAGTATATATGCATGGAATTGCACGGAGTGTGGTTGTCATTTGACCTAAAGGAGTCTAGGGCGTGGGGTCCAGCCGACTGTCCCGCATAGGCCGCCAGTGCGAGCGCTCTGGAATCGCGATGAGGCCAGTTTTTTTCAAATCCAAAAGTCACATGGAGTCACATGAAGTCACTAGATCTTTCAGATTCATTGCGATCATTGCGATCTTTCGCCGGGGCATTGTTGGGTGGATAGAAAACTGTGGCATAAGATGCATGTGGTGGCCAGTTCAAAGAAATCCAAAGGCGACAGAGGAATAGGACTAACCCACAGGTCAGATTGGTTGGGCATGGCAGGCAAGAGCCCGTGCCTTTGCTGGTCGCGCCTCTCGTTCGAGCCGCGAGGTGCAGTGGATTGCAGGTAAAAGAATGCAAAGCAGAATTGCAAGATATTGCAAGTGAAATGCCTTGGTTTCTTGTCAGAAGGAACGAAAATAGCAGCTGCGCTGGCTGACTCAGGCAGGAAAGCCACCACAAGAGACGCAAGCCGAACAGCTCTGTTCTTAGTGTCCAAGGTCTCTGAAGGCTTGTTGAATTGACCTGGGAAGCAAACTGGGACGTGTGGGGGTCGGTTTCGTTCGGTCCAGGGGTCAGCTTGGGGTGTGACAGAGACCGTCCACGCACCACCTACTGTATTTGATGACCTTCTCACCCTAGTGGACGAGAATGGCATTACACTTGATGTCCAGAATTAAATTCCACAAGTAGCAACCTGCATTCTACGTTGGTTCAGGGCTGGCTCGTTACCACTTCGAGAACTGATGCACAAATAATGCACCGCATTGTCACAATATAGATATGTGAAATTTGTATACATGTGTACCTTTCACGTGCATCGTGTATCCAAGCCATGGTGGGGACCAAGGCCCAGCGAAGCCCAAGAGGCTCCAAAAGAAGAACCAAAGGCTTGGTAGCGTTTTCTAGAAATAGCAGCATACTTTTTGCACATTGACCTGGGCAAGTAGCTTGTATGTAGTTGATGGCTATGATCTTCCCTCCCCAACTAAAGTGCTTAAATCTGGACTAGTTGGCTGGCGGCTGGTAGAACGCCGCCAGCTTTCGTGCGTTTCCTGTCTGGGTGGGGTGGGTGATAACGTCATGTTCACACTGCGTCTAACACGCTCTTGATGCTATGCCCTGCACTTCTTCAAGCAACTTGTCTCTTGATGCTACGCTCTGCACTTCTTCAAGTAACTTCTAACACGTCTCTTGATGCTACGTTCTGCACTTCTTCAAGTAACTTCTAACACGTCTCTTGGTGCTACGCTCTGCGCTTCTTCAAGTAGCTTCTCACACGTCTGTTGATGCTGCGCTCTGCACTTCTTCAAGTAACTTCTAACGTGTGTCTTGATGCTACGCTCTGCACTTCTTCAAGCAACTTCTAACACGTCTCTTGATGCTACGCTCTGCACTTCTTCAAGAAGCTTCTAGCACGTCTCTTGACGCTACGCTCTGCACTTCTTCAAGTATCTTAGATCTTCTAATACGTCTCTTGATGCTACGCCCTGCACTTCTTCAAGTAACTTCTAATGAAAGGGAATGTGGGATCCGCTTTCTCTCGCAAAATGAAAGGGAATATGGGATCCAAGCTGCATCCCGTGATCGATACATTGGTCAAACAATGGTTGTACAGAATGTGGACACCTTGCTCAGGTGCAGATGATGTCTATAGAAATTGGACACAAGTCCTGCAACGAATGTGAGACAAGAGAAGCACAGTCTTACAAGAACAAATTGAAAAAACAAAGTAGTTTGTCGCAGGGTTTTACAGAGTCAAAAAAAGGAACCAAAGCACAACATCTTGAGAAAACACAGACGAAGTGAACTCGCCACGGTTGGACAAACAGGTGGCGTTCTGTGAGCCGCTTACCATGTAGTTGATGGCTATGATCTTCCCTCCCCAACAAAAGACTAAAGTGCTTAAATCTGGACTTCGGAATTGCTGATGTGTTTTGCACTCGTGTCCCTTCCCAGCTGACAGCGGGCAGGCACAACTCACAGATGGACCACCTCCGGGTCTGATGGTTCTGCCCTTGTTGAGGAGATAAACTGATGCATATCAGTCTAAATTGTTCGGCAAACCAGAGATGCACAAGTCACAGATGGTTTGGAAAAAGCAACCTGCCATTTCCCTTCTTTGATAACGTGTGGGGGAAAGAGAAGCCGGCTGGAGATCAATGCAGGAAACCAGCCTTCCCTTGCTTCAAGCAGACGTTACAGGCTGGAGTGATCCGGAGCTTTGCACGCGTCTAAGAGAGTTATTTTCTCTGCGAAGCAAAGGCTCTAAGTATGCTCCCTATGTATCAACAGGGCTCCGATCATCCAGGATGTTTTGGGTCAAATCTGAAGGACCACCTCGGTTTTTGGCATTGAATGAACCCTAAAACCATGGAGTCGGATCCCCACATGGATCAATAATTTAAAGGCTTACGCCTGACAGCCGGGTGCCGGCAGAGAATTGGCCGGACGCGCTCCCTGGTCGTGCGTATGATGCGAACATGTACCGCTACTACGAGGACAACAACGACGAATACGACGACGACTAGTACGACGACTACTTTACTACCACTACTAGTACTACTAAGACTATACTACTACGACGACGACTAATACGATGATGACGACGACGATGACCACGACGTTGACGATGACTACGACTATACGACTACTATACGACCTTATAACAACAGCAACAACAACAACTACTACTACGACGAGTACGAGTACGAGTACGACGACGACGGCGACGGCGACGGCGACGACGACGACGACGACGGCGACGACGACGACGACGACGACTACTAGTACTAGTACTAGTACTAGTACTAGTAGTAGTAGTAGTACTACTACTACTACTACTATGCGTACTGGTTCTCGTTGTTGTTGTCGTTGTCGTCGTCAGTTTTGGGTGTTCCTGGTCCGGTTGTTGTCGTTGTTGTTGTCGTTGTTGTCGTGGTTGTTGCTGTTGTGGTTGTTGCTGTTGTTGGTGTTGTTTCTTGTTCTTATTCCTCTTCTTGTTCTTGTTCGTGTTCTTCTTCTTCTTCTTGTTCTTGTTCTTGTTGGTCGTAGTCGTCGTCGTCGTTGTTATTGGTGTCGTTGTTGTCGTTGTTGTCGTTGTTGTTGGTGTTGTCGTGGTTGCCGTTGTTGTTGCTGTTGTTGTTCTTCTTCTTCTTCTTGTTCTTGTTCTTGTTCGTCGTCGTCGTCGTCGTTGTTGGTGCAGTTGTTGTGGTCGTAGTCTTTTTTTGGTCATCGTCGTCGTCGTTGTCGTTGTGGTTGTTCTTTCTTGTTGTTCTTCCTTTGTCTTTTTCTTGTGCTTCTTCTGCTTTTTCTTCTGCTTCTTCTTTTTCTTCGTCTTCTTCTTCTTCTTCTGTGTTTTTTCTTGTTCTTCTTCGTCTTCTTCTTTCCTTCTTCTTCTTTTTCTTATTTTTCTTCTTTTTCTTCGTCTTCTTCTTCTTCTTCGTCTTCTTCTCCTCCTTCTTCTTCTTCGTCTTCTTTGTCGTCGTCGTCGTCGGCGTTGTCGTCGTCGTCGTCGCCGCCGCCGTCGTCGTCGTTGTCGTCGTCGTCGTCGTCGGCGGCGTTGGCGTCGTTGTCGTCGTCATAGCCTTCGTCGGCGTCGTCGTCGACGTCCTCGTCGTCGTCGTCGTCGTCGTCGTCCGGTTGGGCCCCTCTTGGGCCCAGATATGAGCCTAGGGTAGCCAATGTTGGGCCTACGTTGGCCCTATGTTGGCTTTGTGGGCCCCATCTTGGCCCATGTTGGCCCTGTCTTGGCCCTATGTTGGCCCTATGTTGGCCTCTGTTGGGGCTATGTTGGCGATATCCGCGGGCATCCAGGTTGCAAGACCTCCAAGACGCCAATTTTTCCGTCCCGGACCCTTCCGTGGAAGCCAAAACCACGTAAAAACCGCGTTTTTTTTGCTTCCGCCAAGAAAAAAAATGAGATCGGCCCAGGCCACGAAACACCGCGTTTTTCCCCACATCTTTGTGTGGGGTTCTTGATTTTGGTTCTGCATCCCGTCCGCCGCCTCCTCCGCATCCTCCCGTCGCCTGCCTCCTCCCGTCACACACAACTTGTGCTCACACACAACTTGTCCACACACCACTTCTCATCACACCACTTCTCATCACACCACTTGTCATCACACCACTTGTCTTCACACTACTTGTCCACAGACAATTGCTCACACACCACTTGATATCACACCACTTGATATCACACCACTTGCTCACACACAACTTGCTCACACACAACTTGTCCACACACCACTTCTCATCACACCACTTCTCATCACACCACTTGTCATCACACCACTTGTCTTCACACTACTTGTCCACAGACAACTTGTCATCACACAACTTGATATCACACCACTTGCTCACACACAACTTGCTCACACACAACTTGTCCACACACCACTTCTCATCACACCACTTGTCATCACACCACTTGTCTTCACACTACTTGTCCACCGGGCACCAGCACACAGGCAGAGTCAAGCTGCATCGGTTAGTGCTGTGTGCGCAGCTGCATCGAGTGTTGCTGTCGTGCCATGTCAGGTTTTGCAGGCGTGGCACTTGGCGACACATGGATCGTCACTTTGCGTGGCAGGCGTGGCACTTATGGCACTGGGTTGGCTCTGGTGGCGCGCTTGGTTCCCAGGCCGCGCTGGGACGCCGCGGCGTTTTGCGTGGCAGGCGTGGCACTTTGTGACATCCACCTTCACTTTGTGTGGCAGGCGTCGCACTTGATGACATGGATCGTCACTTTGCGTGGCAGGCGTGGCACTTATGGCACTGGGTTGGCTCTGGTGGCACGCTTGGTTCCCAGGCCGCGCTGGGACGCCGCGGCGTTTTGCGTGGCAGGCGTGGCACTTTGTGACATCCACCTTCACTTTGTGTGGCAGGCGTGGCACTTGATGACATGGATCGTCACTTTGCGTGGCAGGCGTGGCACTTGTCAACACATGGATCGTCACTTTGCGTGGCAGGCGTGGCACTTATGGCACTGGGTTGGCTCTGGTGGCGCGCTTGGTTCCAGGGCGCGCTGGGACGCCGCGGCGTTTTGCGTGGCAGGCGTGGCACTTTGTGACATCCACCTTCACTTTGTGTGGTAGGCGTCGCACTTGATGACATGGATCGTCACTTTGCGTGGCAGGCGTGGCACTTATGGCACTGGGTTGGCTCTGGTGGCGCGTTTCGACGAGATGGTGGTACATGCTGCAGCTGTAGACATTTCACACCACGCAGTCAGACAGCAGCGACACCACGGCCACCACACACAACATCACACTTAGAAAGCTTTAACACGCCGTGTGGAGAAGTGACATTTGACAGCACGCAGTCAGACAGCAATGACACAACGGCCACGACCCATAACAGCACACTTCGAAAGCATGGAGGCACAGACAACATACAACATGACACGACCGCTTGGAGCCAGCAAACATCACATCACATCTGAAAGCTTTAACATGCTGCGCGGAGAAGTGACATGAGAGGACATCGGATATGATTGCATCGCACCCAAACAAGCGATGTCAACGTAGCATTGTGCGCCGGCTGCTTTGACACGCAGGCTTGTATACTATGTTTCTTGCGTAGCTCTGTGGTGCAGTATGAATGCTTTCTTTGTTCCGTTTTCATGGATGACATTGCCTGCGTTTCTCGCAGCCATGCATCGCTGGCAGGTACTTTTGCATCGTCTTCGTCGTGCCGCACATCCTTCGGAGGTGGTACCTAAGTGGTAGCCAAATGTTTTGCAACACTTTCATTGTAGTTGATGTCGATTTGCTTCGTCTTTCGTCTTTGTAGTTGTTTCTCTTTGTTTCGCATAGACGCGTCGGTAACGTCGTTGCAACTTTGTGATTCTTGCCACGAGGTGCTTGCTCAGCCGCCACGACAGCGCCTGAGATTTTCAGGTGGATTGCTAGCAGTGTTGCATGTTGATTCTGTCGCGTTGCACAGTGAGCTGTCTGTTGGTCACTAGATGGCTGCGTCGTGTGTGACTTTTCGATTTTGGGGCTCTATGTTAGCTGTGGGACTGAAGTGTCACATGTCATGAACTCAGACAGCAATGAAACCATAGCCAGCACACATCACAGCACACTTGGATGAGACAATGTACAAGAACGACACGACCGCTTGGAGCCAGCAAACATCACATCACATCTGAAAGCTTCTACATGCTGCGCGGAGAAGTGACATGAGAGGACATCGGATATGATTGCATCGCACCCAAACAAGCGATGTCGACGTAGCATTGTGCGCCGGCTGCTTTGACACGCAGGCTTGTATACTATGTTCCTTGCGTAGCTCTGTGGTGCAGTATGAATGCTTTCTTTGTTCCGTTTTCATGGATGACATTGCCTGCGTTTCTCGCAGCCACGCATCGCTGGCAGGTACTTTTGCATCGTCTTCGTCGTGCCGCACATCCTTCGGAGGTGGTACCTAAGTGGTAGCCAAATGTTTTGCAACACTTTCATTGTAGTTGATGTCGATTTGCTTTCGTCTTTCGTCTTTGTAGTTGTCTCTCTTTGTTTCGCATAGACACGTCGGTAACTTCGTCGCAACTTTGTGATTCTTGCCACGAGGTGCTTGCTCAGCCGCCACGACAGCGCCTGAGATTTTCAGGTGGATTGCTAGCAGTGTTGCATGTTGATTCTGTCGCGTTGCACAGTGAGCTGTCTGTTGGTCACTAGATGGCTGCGTTGTCTGTGACTTTTTGATTTTGGGGCTCTATGTTAGCTGTGGGACTGAAGTGTCACATGTCATGAACTCAGACAGCAATGAAACCATAGCCAGCACACATCACAGCACACTTAGATTAGACAATATACAAGAACGACAGCAGAGTCAGCAAACAGCACAGTACAATTCCGGAAGCTTTGAACTGAAGTGTCACATGTCATGAACTCAGACAGCAATGAAACCATAGCCAGCACACATCACAGCACACTTGGATGAGACAATGTACAAGAACGACAGCAGAGTCAGCAAACAGCACAGTACAATTCGACACGACCGCTTGGAGCCAGCAAACATCACATCACATCTGAAAGCTTCTACATGCTGCGCGGAGAAGTGACATGAGAGGACATCGGATATGATTGCATCGCACCCAAACAAGCGATGTCAACGTAGCATTGTGCGCCGGCTGCTTTGACATGCAGGCTTGTATACTATGTTTCTTGCGTAGCTCTGTGGTGCAGTATGAATGCTTTCTT